ATTAGGCAAAACACTTGCACTAACATAAATTGACATTGTTCAATATTTACTGTTTATCTTTTATAAAAAGCTTATTCAAAAAATGGTTTCTTTAGAAAATTTGAAAATTAAGACGCTTCAAAATTGGCCACATTCCTAAACATCTACTTAAGTCATTTTTATTTAAATATCGTTGTATTTTTGCACAACAAAGGGTTTTGAACATAGGTTTCTGTGATTAAATGACACTGTGTCCAGAACAGTGTTGCCTAAAATCAAGATCAGAAAATCAAAATCAACTTTCTTTCAAGATCATTATCTCTTAAAATCACAATATCGTGGCCCCCCTACAGGGAATATACAACTAAACCCATGCAATATGGATATCTACGGAATTAGCTCGATAAGTGGAAGTGAAAAATTGTCATCCGCAGCCATGTAAGAATCCAAGATCGTGAACCAAACTCCAATATGGCGACCCCTGGACTGGGCTTGATAAGTGGAAGTGAAAAATTGACATCCACTGACATTTTGGAATTCAAGATGGTGGACCAATGATTACACATGTCAATATATTGACAAACATCGTATTGTGTATTGTGTTTGTGAACGTGGAATAATCGTTTGGGCACTTGTATCTCGGGAACGATGCGCTGCAGCGTAAGTAAGGAGATCGAACTACGCCTAATCGATTGTCTGGCAAGGAACATTTGGGCTTGGCTCTCGGGTAAATCACCTCTGTTCCAATGTGGCAAGAATGACATAAAATTATTTGAAGTGGTTTACATGTTCATATTTGTTGCTATGGTAATAATTCAATTTATGTGACGTAAAGATTTTTGACGGTGGGAAAGTTACAGGGTTTGAATGTAGGAAAATGTTCAATGTTTTCTGTTTCTAACGCTATAAACTTTGATGACTGAACTTGAGATTCATTCGTATTGAAATTAATGAGCGATGGATTTGACTATTGCGTTTATCTGGTATGCTTCATCTAATGTTGAATATCTGGTTTGCTACAAGGCTTTTGTTGCACCAAGTGTGAAACATCTGTATTTCATGTTTGAATGTGTTGTTGTCTTCAGCATTTTTAATTTCTAGAAAAAGCGTAAATTAAAACTGAGTTTTTTTTTTAAGAATAAGGATTTGTTGTACAAATAGAATGAACAGAAGGGGCCCTAAATGAGAACCTTGTGGGACCCCTGATGTGGCATGAATAGTGGTTGATCTGTTTTTCCTTTGAATCTTATTATTTGATCGCGGTTGGTTAGATATGATTCAAGCCATTTAAGAAGTTTTGGCTGCATTCCCATATTTTTAAGTTTAAAAAGAAGCGCGGGTCAAATGCTTAAATGCCGTTGTCCATTGTTTCTAGATAATAATTAATGAATTCGAGTAAATTAGTGGTTTCCGAACGACCTTTAAAAAAGCCGTGCTACCTTGTAGTAAATCTATTTTTGATTTGGGCAAACATTTATAATTGATTTAAGAGATAATGGCTATGCTCGCCATGAGAGCTGGTGGAACTACCAGCAGAACCAGAACGGTCATCTGCTGTTCGACCACTCACAGCATGGGCTGTACTCCGTTTGATTCTCGGACGAGCCAACATTCATCTCACCGGCGGGCAATCCATCGACGCTAGACCTGTTCCTGACAAATACCGGTTGAAGCGCCCGAACTCCGTTGCGCATTCATGTTTCACTACCGTGTTGAAGCGCCCAACGTAGAGCAGACAGACAGACAGAATGACAGTGCAATTCTATTTATACTGTATGGAAAAAGCTCTTTGATGAATCAATTATCCTGAGGTTGGAACTGTGCTCGTCCGCACCTAGCATACCTCGAATAATAACTCATCAGAACAACTGCCCCGATTCTTTATTTTTCGACACAATAGTTTTTCTCCAGTATGTACAGATAAAGCGAGACAGATAGTTTTTTCTCTTGGAAAGTCGGTGTCTGCTTTTTTTACAAGAATTGATGCTCCCCGCGGTAGGAACGGCTATGTAAGATGCTTAATGTTTAATGTTTACTTTGACCTTTCGCGAAGCACCGAGTTAAACCAGCGCGCATCGCTGACGACGCGGTAGCAACTGTTTATAAACAACTGACTCTGAAATGTGCGACATTGTCACTGTTGCTGTTAAGTTGTGTATTTTCTCCTACCGTATGGGGGTCTTTTACTGGTTAATTTCTAACTCAGATTGATATTAGAATTTGAGACCTTTGCACCGGTATCATTGAACGAACTCAGCTCTGAACATGATTCTTAGATACATCCGATTGAAAACGCACTGATTTTAAATTAGCAGGGCTTTATCAGAACGGTTAGCAGTGACGGAAATCACATGTTGTTTATGTGCAAACGGATCAACCACAAAACGAATTGATAACAAAAGTCCGATAACGAAAACCTAAAATGCAGTGTTGAAAGATAAAAAAAAAGCACAGTCATACTTCGATATAATGTAGCCGCGAAGTTGTGAAACTTTTGAAAAGTCTGATACCTATACTAGCTTGGAAACTGCTTCTTTGAAATGTTATGAGACTGTGTTTAATTTTTTGTCTTGCTATGATTCATTTTTCATATTTTTTTTGATGTAACGCAGCGAAATGAAAAACTACTACTACTTACTGTATCAAGTTAACCTATATATGTAAGTCAAGTTAACCTCTATTGGGTTTCTGGCCACTGTGGAATTGAAGGGAATGAAAAAATTGGTGGGGTTGTGTACAAAACACGACCGCAGGGTTGACGTAGACTACGTTAAGCAGTGTAGTGAAATTCTCGTGCATTTTTTCTAGATATTGATTTAAAATACAGTAGAAGTAACCTATGATTTCGGTCCTATGTATATATTTTGGATTTCCTACTTGATAAAACTGGGATAAATTCAGGACCTCATGAAAGAACTCAATTTTCAGTTAAAAGTACTCATCCGTTTAACTTATTTTTCGATGAAAATCATAGCAACCTGCACTGTGTCGATGCTGTCATATTTTCGTGCTCCATTGCCTCCGTTCGTGCTCCATCGGTCATCGTATTAGTCTTCGTTAGTGCGTGGCACGAAGCGACAAAAAAAAATTGGATGCTGGTAGGTTGTGAGTGTTTTTAGTTCCATTGCAGCATGGTGATGATGATGATAGCATGATAGTGGTTTACCACACATTGTAGCACGTAAGCTTAGTCCGATAGCAGTGGGCTCTCTTCTCTGTTTATCTTGATCAAGCTTAATAACCTCTGATTGTCCTCAACATGTCGCTGTATGAAGGGCCAAAAACGGATTGGGTGGATCGATAGACAAAATCGCCTATACGCATCTACGGGACAATAAAGAATCTCCTTCCAGCAACATGATCAGCCAATTGGTCAACAAGACGAGTTCCCAAACAGGAAGATGCCCCAATGAGTGGGGTGAAGAGCCCGCCCTTTATCAACGAAATGTTATCAACAGGGAGTTGACAATCCCACTCTCCCCGTCCAAATCGTTTCAATCGGGTGCCCCTTTTTTGTATGAGAATAACTTATGCGAGTCGATTGTTATGATTATTGTCAATAATACTTAGATGAAGATGATGCCACCAATCCAACTTTGAATCGTTCGGAGCAGGAGCTCATGGTTCCACTCATCCGGTATGGTCTTCTTCTTCTTCTTCAGGTTCGCTCACCACCCGAAATGAACGCTCGGTGCATCATAGATTTGATATGGTTAGTAATATCAAATAGTGTTACATGCAACAGAAAATGATGAGCTTTTTAAAGTAACAGTTTCATCTGAATTCCTAACTAACCACATCGTATCTCAGTGACATTGTCTCAATCTGAACCTACATTTAAAGTTATGTCTTGATTATATGGTTACTGTGCAAGTACCACAAGTTCAACAACGCCCAACTATGGACAGTTCAATGCTATGGACACCAAAGAATATATAGAGATAAAGCTCAAAAATACAGTTTTAACTGATAGTGACTCATCAAGCTGTTCCATATTGGACCCTGCCAACCCACGGAACCTGTAATGTGGGCCATCAGAATGGTTCATCGGTTGCTAAGTCAAGTACTGCTCAAACTGAAGCGATACATTTCTCAATGTTTCAACTTTATTCTAATGTAAACTTAATATCGTCTCACACGCCATATGCCCATACACACCCAAAACCCATCCCCACACAAAATCAAATAAAAAGGTTTATGTATGGTAAACACGTCCGGACATTAACAGGGAAATGGGTTTACATCTTCACTATCGCAACTACGGGTAATCATCGAAAGTATTTGCATTTTACTCAGGCACTTTTGAGGGAACTTCAATCAACCTCTCATACCTGAAATGTGCCACGACCAACCTGGCACAACGATGTCGTTACGCTCTCTGATCAAAGCGCAGGGAGTGTTTTAGTTCCGTTGTTTACAAAAATCTTAATTTGTATCTACTGTAGATTTGCATCGACCATGAGCTTCCGAAGAAGTCGAACTTGGTATAAGGACGATGAGGATATATTCTGCTGTGAACGAGTGGTTTCGCGTTGACGAGTGGTTGCGGAAGTGCTTATTAATTGTTGTGTAATAATTTCAATAGCTGCAAATAAATTCAATTTAACTTTGGTTGTCATATATTCGTTGTCATATAAAGAATGGAAAATTATTAAATTATGAATTATTCCAACGTTGGGTAAAGTTTACCTATTTATAAACCTAATTTTACCTAGCCCCACTGAAGCCACGCGTTGAGTGAAAGGAACTCAATTTTGGTACTTTTTTCTTACCGTGTAGAAAATCTTGTGGTACCACTATTTTTTAAATTTGTCAAGAAATTCAAACAAAGTCATTGGAAACTTTCCGTAACACGTTTTCCGGAGGCTTCGTAGTCGGTGTAAAGTTTTTTTTTTATCCACCCTGTTCAAAGCGTTAATTTAAATTCTGTTACTATATCTAATATTGTTCTAACAAGATAATTTTGTTACGGGTGACCTTCATAGCTTATTGATGAAATATTTATCCTGTTTTTTTTTCAGGTGGTTCAAAATGGATCAACAATCGTATGAAAGTGAAATTAAGTCGGGTGGCCACGGAGAAAAATTCCAAACAGACGTTGCCCTCGTACTGTTGCTGCGTACGCGGGAATTAAGTTCCGCTACAAGGATGGCGTATGAAATGAAGATGGCCGACAAGTTTGACGATGTTGTGTTGATTGACGATACAAACAAGGTGATCCACTTAATTCAAGCAAAACACGCCGATACCAAGGATGAAAAGGTTAAAAATATCGATCTGGATGCCCTGTTTCCAACTGGAAATAGTGCCAAACGCACCGGGGACTTTGATTTGTGCAAGTATGCCAAATCCTACATGACTGTGACTGGAAGTTTGGAACTAAAGGCGTTCAAGAAGATGTTTTACATCTTCACCAATAAGGATCTGAAACAGACCGATAACGAGTGGGTGAAGATCGAAGAACGGGAAGTAAATGAAATCCTACGTTTTTCTGGATCCAGTGCCAAAAACCTGGAACTTATTCCAAGCGAAAAGGCTATCAACGAGGTGCTCAATTACATCAACAAAGATATCATTGCGATTAAAGATGCGATCAAAGAGTTCTTTCACAGCGGAACGGTCAGCCCAATTTTAACTCACTATTGCACTCCATTGAAAGACGTTATGATCATAGACCGGAAAAAGTGTCGCTTTGCAAGCAACTTCAATGCTGAAAATCCCAATGTTGCCAAGCTATACACCATGTTGCAAAGCGATCAGGTTGATATGGAGAAAGAAGTAACCGTCAACAATAATTTCCTGGCGAAAGACTCAAGGAACAAACTTTTGCCACCATTCGTTGGTGAGGATGACATTCGTGGCTTCTTTCGCGATTTGACTCTATCGGTGGGTCAACCAAACGATTTGCAACCTATCATCGTTGGTGAACTACTGGCTTGGATGAAGACGTGGATTCAACCGGACATTCTCGGTAAGCTGGGGCAAAAGGACTTGGATCAGGTGTATATCGACCTGAAAGATTATTTTGTAAAATGCAACGAACCTGATAACAAAACTAGGAAGCGTTTTTTGGCCAAACAAGGTATCGAAAAATGCTTTGGACAATTAAAGCGTGGAATGGAGACGGGTGTCATAAAGCGCGTAATGGCAGAGGTGGAAGAATGGCAATTTACGTATATTAACCGCCATATCAAGTACGAAGAGACGGCATTAGAACCAACCGGTAAATTATTAACCAAGGCAACAGATAAGGATAGGACTAGCACAATAGTTCGAAAGATAAGTGATACTATATTAGTTGAAGAGCTTCGAGGAAGATTCAAATACCAGCAACACATTTTACTTGTAGCAGACCCCGGTATGGGAAAAACCATTTTACTGCAGTTTTTGGCATTTCAGGTTCAAAAACAAAGCCACTCTGCAGTATTCTTGGTGTATTTAAGCACGCTTTGTAATGCACTAAACAAAATTGAAAAAGTATCAAACTTAGACGATGTCCGGGGAATTCTCAGCGCTGCTCTTTCAGAGAATAACTGTAATCTCATCCTTAATGCCCCGGAAAGGCGAAATGACGAAGAATATTCCATTATTTTAGCATTGGATGCATTTGACGAAATACATTCCAAATACACCGAGAAAGTAATTAGTATACTTGAACTGCTCAGCTCTAGAAAGAGTATTCAGTTCATAATCAGCTCGAGACTCCACGTGCAGGAATTATTGCAAAGGAAATTCGATGTGAAGCTAATATCCCTAGTCCCTTTTCGGCATAAGGATCAGATCCAGTACTTGAAGAAAATATGGATGAAGGACAGTGTTGATGAGAAAGTGGTTGAAAACTTTTCGGAACTTCTTTTAAAAAAATATCATTCCAGCATTTTATCCAACTTGAGTGAAATTTCCGGTTTGCCTCTGATGATGCGAATGCTCGCTGAAATTTACTCTGACAAATTCGAACAATTTATTTCAGCAGCAAATTCCGACAATATGAAACCGTTTGATTGGTCAGAAGACACATTGAATATTGTGCAACTGTTAGAGCAGTTTGCCAAGAAATGTTTTCACAAGAAATTTGTAGAAAAATTTAAGTTCACGGTTGATATCAACGATGCTGAATTTAATTCAATAATTGACACGTACATTTTGGAACATCAACTGCTAGCGATAAAGCTGCTAGACATTGACATGCTCATGGATTTATTCACGGTGCCGTATTTTAAGAAAAAATATGACTCATTCAAAAACCGTTGTGAGCAGGATGCAGAAAAATCTATTTTGGTGAAAGTAGTCAACAATAATGTTCAGTTCTGCCATTTATCATTTGGTGAATACTTCGTAGCAACATATTTAAGTGATAACATTTCCAAGTTGGAACCAAACTTATTGATCAACGTTCTATCTCAACACGATGTTATTAGGAAACTGACACTGATCAAGCTTGGAGAAAATGAAAACTGCTCCGAAACTTTAAACAAATTGTGCAGACTTGACTGGAACGTACCTTTGTGGGTATGTGAGAGTGGTTGTCTGAAATTGGTTTCATCCCTAGAATTTGAAGAGTTCTCCACTCTCACACTAAATAATATGTTAAAAGTCTCTGCGAAATACGGATATTTAGAAATATGTAATTTTCTAATTGATTACCATGCAAATCTCGATGAAAGCACTGCGCTGCATTCTGCCGTTGTGAATGGCCATCTGAGCGTTGTGAAACTATTGATAGAGAAAAATGCGGACCCAAATAAGATGGACAAATACAAATGGACTGCACTTCATTATGCATGCAAAAACGGAAATGTAGAACTAGTTCAATTCTTTATTGATCGCGGTATGAACACTTCCTCTCGGTCAATCAACGGTGCAACTCCACTTCACATTGCTGCGATGAACGGCCATCTGAATATTATTAAACTATTGATAGCGAATAATGTGGACCCAAATGAGATGGACGATAATAAATGGACTGCACTTCGTTATGCATGCAGAAACGGAAATGTAGAACTAGTTCAATTCTTTATTGATCGCGGTGTGAACATTTCCTCTCGGTCAATCACAGGTATAACTCCACTTCTCATTGCTGCGATGAACGGCCATCTGAATATTGTTAATCTGTTTATAGCAAATAATGCGGACCCAAATGAGATGAACGATAATAAATGGACTGCACTTCATTTTGCATGCAGAAACGGAAATGTAGAACTAGTTCAATTCTTTATTGATCGCGGTATGAACATTTCCTCTCGGTCAATCATAGGCGAAACTCCACTTCACATTGCTGCGGGGAAAGGCCATCTGAATATTGTTAATCTGTTGATAGCAAATAATGCGGACCCAAATGAGATGGACGATAATAAATGGACTGCACTTCATTATGCATGCAGAAACGGAAATGTAGAACTAGTTCAATTATTGATTGATAAAGGTGGGAACAGCTGCTCTCAGACAATGTTTGGTAGTACTCCACTTCAAATTGCTAAGAAATACGGCCATCAAAGTGTTGTTGAATTGATTACTGCGAACACTTAGAAAATTAGCTGGACGATTAAAAATGAACTTCCGAAACGAAAATGTGGAAATAGTTCAATTCTTGATTCTCGCTCTTGGAAAATCCATGATGTAACTCTACTTCACATTGCTGCAGGGAATGGCCATGCGAACGAGTGCTGTGAAACTCTTGATAAAGGGGTTTCATATGTTTTAATTCAACCAAAAAATCGACACGTGTTAGTATCAGTATTAGTTAACACGAATTCGTAACTGATGTTCGTTGACTGAATTTTGTGCCGTAAAAATATTTTTATCTTTTTTGGTACCTAATTCCACTGAAATAATTTTGGTATCGATGACAGATACGATTATTAGTGATTTGAATAGATTTTTCTCCTTTACTTTACTAAAACCTTTGTTTATTATTAGTTAGGTAGGTTCTAAACATTGTAGTTTCATTTTTTTTACCTGTGATCTTGACATTTTTACCTACGGGATGAGTACTTAAGGGGGATAGGTTTTTGATAAGTCTTTAGTGGCAATGACACTTATGAAGACTGTACATTGTAGTCGAAATATGTATCTGTCATGGATACTTCGTAGATTGGATACTACCCAACAAACAATTTTAGCTGCAGATTAGCTTATGCAGCCAAAACTTGCCTTATGCAGCTAATTTTTGCTTGTATAAGCTAAGCTGCAGCTAAAATTGTTTGTTGGGTAGCGACACTCACGACTCTTTTGAAACTCTCAGTCAGACTACTTTCAGGAATAATGCTGGGGTGTAAACATTGATTCCAATCTTAATGAGAATACCAGAATCATGAATTTTGCTATTCCCGGCCACGCCCATCTTTTCCATAACTAAGGATAGGAAAGAAGATGTTGATGTAGTACTTCCTTAACGAGAGGCCACCAACTTAGCGACACCCTCATAAGTGCTACGGAGTTGGAGGTTCGGGTAGGGTCTTCGGTAACGATTCACCTCTCAAGTTGGCGATGCAACCAAAGTTTATTTTGTTTAAGCTCTCGATAGCCGATTATCGAAAGAAAATATTAATTTTGCTTAGTGATTTTGTATTTTGAGGGTCATGACGGAGAGCTTGTGATTACATCCAAGGTGTTCTGTTCTTTTTTTTTTTTTTTCCTTTGGTTTGTTTTTTCCATCGACCTTGTTTTCCGTGCTGAGCACCAATGCTACCGAAGAGATGAACTAGCCTCAGGCTAAAAATCTCTAAAATAAAGACAAAAAAAAAAAAAAAAACCAATGCTACCGACGTGCCAGGAAGGCAGCTCCCACACCTGGACCCTACCTATCGACCCATCAACTCATGAACCGGGGACCAACGGCTTTACTTCCCATCCGAAGGAAGGCGTGATCAGAGATGTTATGCCTCAGAACATCTCGGCGCGCCGACTGGGATTGAACCCAGGCCTGCTGGGGTGAGAGATAATCACGCTTACCACTACACCACCGGTGACGTTGGGTGTTCTGTTCAGTAAGCAAATCAATTCATCTAAATGGACTACAAAATATGACTACGTTTTCGCTTGGTATGTAAAGAACGACTGAAATACGCGATAGTAAAAGTTTTCGAGGTTGATGGATAATCTGCATTATTGGATATACAGTCTACACGTCTGTCCTAAAACTCAAATATTACTTCTTCACGTACTCGACCCTTCAACCCCTTCTTTACGTTTTACATCATATTATGAAATAAAGCCGATTTAAACTATAACTCCATAATGGAAGGAGCTTGGGATTGAACCCATGATTTTCTACTTATTGAGCAAAATCGGTCGCCATAAGGCCACCGAGCTCCTCCTTATACAAAACAATTACGAGCAATTTCCCGTTCAACTTGCTATCACTACAATAACAGATACTCTTGAGAAGGATTTGTTATAGATTTCCAATCAACGCATCTTTCCCAAAAACTCAAATATTACGATTGTTTTTCCGTACTCGTTCCTCCAACCGAATTTCAATACGCTTTATCTCATATCAAGAATAAATCCGATTCACACTAAGGCTCCATTATGGGGAGGAGTTTGAGATTGAATCCACCGAGCTCTTTATATCAGTGACGACAAGGCCAATCACAAATTCTCACAAAATCAAAATATCAAGAACATTGATAATAAATACATAAAGGACGTTCTTCAACTAGAACAAATGCACCAAATCCAACGATGATCGTTTTCCAATGCTGCGGATTCATACATTATGAATTCAAATTGCACTTGATTCAAATATGACACAAAACGACCCGAAACTCGTCCAACAAATACAAAATGTATACATTCTGCACATGGCAAACAGGCCCGAATCAATCTCCACGATATTCACCGAGAAACCGACAAGCATGACCCTCGTCCCGCCCACATCCTCCACCAGCGATTCCAACCACTAATAACTAGATATGATTTACACGGCATGATCGAATGTGTCTTTTATGAACCAATTTTCTGTCAAACGCGAACCAGCTCCTGATTGGTCGGGCGAAAGTATAGAAACGCAAGAATTTCTACAACAGGGAATCTGTTTTCTGGTATTTTGACAGACAACTGCGTCGCTCAAAATGAAATAGTTTTTGCACGGTCGTTTCTGCGAGAGAGGAAGAACACGTCAGAGACTTCCTCCTAGGTTCCTCTTATGCCTAGGCGAGTAAGAGAGGTGACACAGTCGGAAGAAGTGTTAGTTTGTTTACTAAAATGAACCGCCCATTTTGTTATGGCAAGTTTTGCAAAGATTGATTAATTGCGTAGGAAATCAGTTTGGCACGGCATTTGTGACCAGCATACACCTTCCGGTCGCATGAAACAGGTCAAAAACTGTCCTAATACGCAGATAAAAATTTTTGTTTTGAATTTCTGTATGGCAAAATAGTGAACTTTTTGTGGACATTAACGGCAAATAACTCACCAACACTGGGAGACCGTGAGTTCCTGCCCCCCTGTCATTTCCCATCTCGCTCTTAGGCGCTGCTCATCACAGGAACAGAAAAACAGATCAGCACGGTAGAGGTTATAACGGGCAACAAAGCAAAACGCAACAGCACACTTAAGGGGTGTTTACACTTATGCTAGTTCACTAGCGCTAATGAGTTCGCTGCTAGCAAAAACGCCCACCATCATGATAAAAAGTGTTGACAATATGATAATACGCTGGTGAGTGGGTGCTGATAATGTTCATTATGCAAACGAAGTCAAAAGAGGCTTTTCTGTTGATCAGTTCGTCTCGTGACCGGTTAATTGCTTAATTAAAAAAAAATGACCGAAATACTATATGATTGTGCGTATGATGTTGTGTGCTGCTTGTTAGATGAAGAAATTTGCAATTCTACGAATACACAATCCAGAAAACGAAAACAAACTGTTCGGTCAGTGTGGGTTCTGATAGACC